ACTGAGTCCTGACTCATTCATCAGTAAGTTTAGTATGAGGGAGCTGAAGCATCAGTAGTCATAAGGTTACCAGTAGCTCGGTGCTGATTCATCTGCGGTGTTAAATGTTGCATTAGTTAAGCAACAACAATTGAGAAAGAAGCTGTTTCCCAGAGATTAAGAGGTGATGGGGAAGACTCGATGGCCTGAGGCTGCTTTTGTTCTTAAAAGGTGGGGATGAGGAGGAAAAAAGCTGCATGGTATTTATTCATGAGCAAAGTTAACAAATAGGGACAGGATGTTTATAAAAGGACTATTCCTGCCATAAGGAGTCCTTTCTTAAAAACCTGAATAATTTCGTAGCAAACTAAAATTATACTTAAAAAAAGGCAACTGTTCAAAGTGTATGTCTGTGCATACTGCTATAGGTGTATGTTCAGACCTGTCTGAGGACAACACTCAAAATACGTGTGCTTGTGCATCTGATATGTTGAAAAGATCTGTCCTTCATACCATCAGGTTTTTGTGATATTCTGGGAAAGAAGTGCTGACATTCTTGTTCAAGATCAATTTCTTTCTCAGGCATTGATGGTATAAAAAAATTAAGGATAGTGCTGTACTATTCTTTTTCTTCAGCTCTTTCCTTCATCTGTGCTCTAGCTACCACTCTCAAAAGATTTGAAAAATGTAAAATTCCAGAAGTAATTTGAAAGACCCTTGGGCTGAAAGAGTTGCTGTGGGTATTTCAAAATCCTGTTAAGTAGCTATGAGTCCGTGACCCATTGACTAATGAAGAATTTGGCTGCTTACTGTTTATTCTTGCTTTATTGTTTTGTCTCCTTCTGTACATGCATCTGAAGTAAATGACTGTTAGGTCTTTAAATCAATATGGTCTATACTAAACTGATTAGGATGTAGGCCATTACACTTTAGTTAAGGAATTTCCTTAAGGAAGTCTGTCCTTACTTTACTTGCATACTAAATGATTGGTTTGAAGGACCCTCTAAGGGCATGACATTGTGTTCATTCCTCTTCACGGCAGTACTTGCTAAAGCAGTTTGGAGTTAAAATGCCATTTCTGGCCCCAACTAACTCTCAAAAAGAAAAAAGTTGTGCAAACTGCAACTTTATTTAGCTAAAGGAAAGTTGGGGAGTCAAGGCTTCTGAAAATTCCCTGAAAATTTTACTTGCCAAAACAAGTTCTGAACTCCTGGTTCCAAACACAAGCCCAGCTTTTTAGGGTGTGTGAGTAATGAGAAAGGGGTTGCATCATGGCTTTGGCCAGTCTTGGGTTTGCTGAAAGCAGACTCTGCTCTCACTCCTGCCTGTAAACCCATCTGTGGACGTAGGCTCTGGCAGGAACAGACTCTGTAGAACTAAGTCAGCCTGGCTGCTGATTAAAACATGTTCTACTGGTGGATGAACACATTGCATTGGCTGAGCTGAAGTCTGACCACAACTGTGGCAGGTACAAAGAGGTGGGATACATGAAGCTGGGAAAAAGAAGAGTGGAGAAACAAGAAGGACCTCCCATTCTGGCAGTAGGGAGCTGTCAAACCAGCTTAGCTGCTCTATTTAACTTCAAAAATTATGTTTGGAAATTTTGCCTGAAAAGGCATGTGTCATATTTAAGATTTTTCTGAACAGAGTTTAAGTTCACGATTCAATTCAGATTTCCAGGTGGTCGTGTGAGCCTGTTGTCTGATAACTGTCCAAACCACTGAAGTTTTAGACTTAGGTATCATCTCAATATTAAGGTTTTAAAAATTTCTCTTGGTACTACAATGCAATTAAATCAAATACAGAGAGACTTTAATACCCTCAGCCAGTTTTGCAGTAATCTCATCATGCCCACTAGGATGAGAAGTGGCAGAGCAGTGTGTCAGCTTGCTATGAATGGAACAGTTTTATAGTCCCTAGTCCTGCATTCTCTTAGCAATGCTGCTGAGGCTGTTGAAGGTGCTGTCACACATGACCTGTTGGTCTGTACCAGCTCTGGAAATGTTTTCCTTACCCTAAAGCTGAATAGATCTTTGAAATGCTTCTGCTAGACCAACTTTTAGAACATAGTTATGTGTTAACTAGTTACAAGTCAGACAAAATATGAAAAATTGTTTGTTTTGTGTAGGCCACAGGAGAGCTAAGTTGTGAATTGTGTTTTCCTTCTGGATCACAGCTTGACTACCATGATCGACATCATGGCAAATATTCAAGCAGAGGATGCTGTTCCTGCTCAGCTGAAAGGTTTAATGCAGTAATGATGAAAGCTAAACTGAGCAAATAAATGGACATTTACCATTTAAGTACAAGATGGAGTGTTTCTATTAACAGAGGCTGCAACTGCTGAATGTTCTTATGGACTGTAAATTTTCCTTTTTCTAATGATAATTCAAGTAAAACACTCAGATTTTTTCTTTTCTAACAAATTGAAATATTCTTTTTCTCCTTCTGCCTCATAGAGACAAACTGTACAGCAGTGCAAGAGGAGTGTGTTTGTCCTCTTGCCTTGGGTGTATCACGCAGTGACTGCCCAAGAACATTTTTAATGGTGACCTAATTCTGGGTGGGCTGTAAAGAAAAATGCCTGTTTAAAAAGGGAAAGGGAAAGACTATCCATGGGCTCTTTGAGGCTTCTCTCCATCACCTCTATATTATGAAAGTCTTGTATCAGATTCCCACATGTCATTATTATATGTATATAAACATACATATTTTGTATTTAAAATTGGATGTGTTTATTATCCTGTGGTTTTCTTTGTAGTGCAAAAGAAGTGTGAGACTTATTACTGTTTGAACATGCCAACTGTACATTTTAGATACAGCTACTTGTTTTGATATTCTTCTCCAGGGTAAAAAATTCAAATTGGCCCAAAGAACACACAAATCTGGGGGAAAGGGAAAAGTCTAATCATTGAGTAACATTTGACTGTCATCTTCCCAAGACATTAAGGAGAATTATGAGAATTAAGCTGAAGAAAGCAAAGAGAAAGAGAAGGCAAAGGATGTTGTGCAACTGTGAGCAAGATTTCTTTTATAACAAACAAAAGCAAGAATCTTTTCACATGAAGTTAGTCATGTAAGACTGACTTTGTAAATCTGACTGCTGTTTGATCAGCACAGTGGTCCAACCATAGAAGTAGTTGAGGTACAGCTTAATGTTACTTCTGCTATTTCCTGAACAACATACAAGTTAGGATTAATTTTTGAGTGAGTACACAGGAGTAACTTCATCTGGGCTGTTGCTTCAGTTGCTAGCACAGCATTTGATTTCAGGTGAGTGAGCCAGGCACTGCAGAGCACTGCTGTGGGTGCTGGGTCATCTTCCAGAGCATCTCCTACAGCAGGGTCATAGTTAATGGCCCAACCAATGCAGCATCTGAGCATCCTGCACTGCATCCCAGAGCCAGTGTGGCACCTTCTGCAGGTTAAATGGCAATGCTGGTCCATTCATATAATCCTACCCTTTAGCCATGGGCAAAAGACACAGTTGTGAAATGTTCAAAATGAAAATGAAGGCAAATAGTACAAATGTCCTTAAAACCTGCATACACTGCACAGCTTCCTGTGGTGGAATGAAATGCATCTGAATAGTGCAAAGGAGTTGGATACATGGAATATGACACTGGCACTGCATTCTTTATTCAGAATGGATCCAGAGTCCAGGAAGTACAATATAGCTCATTGATGTAAAAATAATGGCAATAAAGGTTTTGCTTTAACTTTTAACAGGAATTCACCCATGTTCTATTCAGGATTAGTAAATGAGTTTTTACAAGGCCCACTGGAGTCTTTTATTTGCTGACTTTTATTGAGTTTGGTTAGCAGGAAGCAGCAGTTGAATTTGAATACAAGAAGTTAACTCTGTGATGGATGTTGCATTCACAACTGACATCTGTCATGTCCCAAGGAAACTTCTTGAGAAACTGTGTGAATGCTAAGAAATACAAGATCTTTTGCAGGAGTGTGGTTTACATCACATCTGAAATCTTTGCATGCCCTAAGAAAAATTCAGTCATGATCCAGCCTCGGTCTAAAGCTGCCACTGGAGTTGATTTGAAATACACAGAATTGTTTTCTGTGTTCTTAATCAATCATAGCAGATCCTCATCCCCTTCCAAAGGCCCTGTTGAGAAGATGTCTTTTGAATTGTGGCTAAAATACAATTTCATGCTATTTTCAAGTGTGAGCAGACATCCTGAGTTTCTGAATCCTCACAGAGAATTCTGTCAGCTATGCCTTTTATTGTGTCAAGGATATCAGACTGAGACACAGGGACTGCCACTGTGGCCATATGGTGGCATGTGTAGGAAGGAGGAAGGGGTAATGGGGAAAAATTCCTTCCACAGAGGAAAGAGTAATGAGGAAATAAAAGGGAAGTGACTCTACATTCCCTCCTATGCAGGACTTGTTCTTCATAACAAACATTTGAAAAAAAATTGCTTTCAGTCAGGCAGTTCAGAAGTAGTTCTTGCTGTTCTGACATGAACTTCATTTTATTAGGTTTTTAAGGTGTAGCCTTATGCAGAGTACGTGACAACAGCATTATCCAGATGGAAAGCAGTTATTAAGAGCTACACAATGAGCAACAGTTGCATAGGTATAGTAACTTCAGAGTGAAGCTGCTTAAACATGAAGGCACTGCTGGGAGGGTGGAGGAAAGGCATCATAAAGAATAATTTCTGTGGAAGGCACATGTCTCTCCTAAGCAGTTGTTCCCCCAAAAGGTTGTATGTGCTGCTGGTAGAAAAGTGAGCGAGTCACATTCAAATCAAATATGAAATTAAATGTACCATGGCCTTACAGCAGATGTGAATTCACACTATCAAGGCAGTTTTTCTTTGAGGTGTCCTTTCCTTTTGCTGGGGGCAGGGGGAGACAGCAGTAAGTGTTGTGAATTATGTGTGAAATATGCATTCGGTTTATACTTGTAATACTGGTGTGGGAAACTTGTGATCTCTGCAGACATTTGATCATTCTGTGTTGCTACATACTCAGCTAATACTCTGCATTTTCAGATACTTGAGAGAAAACATAGAAAAATAGAAACTAAAGGAAGATTAGGGAAGTCAGAGATGCTAAAAGGGAACAGATCAAGTGTCTCCCTTTGGCCCAAACTTGAAAACTCTGAGGGAACAGAAAGGTGAGGAATGAAAAAGAATGTATAACAAAGGAGTTATGTATATGTGCATGTAGATATACACTCATATTTGTCTATAATATGGGATTGTGTCTTTTGATGAGCTTACTATTCGAACATTAACTTTACCTTGTTTTAAATAAGATGTATTTTTATCTAGGGAATAGATTGGGAAACTGAACCTTTAGATTTTGATTCTTTATCCTCTAAAGGGCTAAAGAAATTAAACAAATAGATCCTTGACCTCTGATTTTTCCTTCGTGTGTAAACAATGCTCTTGAAATTACTGTGTTTTGTCTCACTTAAGGACAGTGGATCCAATGAACTCTTCGATGTATCATTCCCATACTAACCTTTCTTGATACATTACAATATCTTGATACATACATTTTCTTGTTTCATATTAAAAATGAAGGTAGCAACCGTGGCTTTATGAGTTTAGGAGCATTCCAATACATATCCTTTATTTCAGTATTCCTAAGACCTTGCACAAACCATCATGCCCAATGCCAAGCCAAGTTCCCTGTTAAAATGTGATTCATGTTTTTTTGTCATCTAACCTTTATTGTATTGTGGAAAGGCAAACAAAGACTGAAAAGCACATTTTATATTAAATAGCATTACTTGACAATGAATATTTGTTGGCCAGGAACCAGAAACTGTGGACCTGAAAGTCCCTTTTCCTGAAAGGGACTTAACACTTTGTGTCAGTTGTCATACACTACTTTTTTTTGGCTGAGACTGTGTAATCCTGCCTGCTTAATCCACATATACCCCTCCCTTAGGATTTCTTTTAAGAAAGGGATGTTTTCTCTTCTACAGGAGACAAAAACATGTCTATCTTATGGAGCTTATTGTCCACACAACAATGAAGAAGTTACTGTATGACTCTGAGTGAGTGTATAGAGTGGTTTTGTAAATCCCTCTGACCCCAGTCTTGAGTAAGGCAGCTAATCCCAGCAGAAGGGTGTTGCTTCAGAAGAAATCTCTGCAGAGCTGTGGAATACATTCCTCCACCCCAGTTGCCCAGGCTGTTTGTATTACTGCTATAGATAAACTGTGCAAACTAATGAAACTGGGGGGTATTTTACACCCACTAGTTTTGTTTCATTATGTATTTGCTCACAACCTCCTTCTCTGCCCCCCAGTAATATCCTGTCACTGTTGTGGAGACTGCTGGTCCTTAGAAGCAATGAAGAGGCATCCTCAAAGGTATTTGTTGGCTCCTGTACTTCTTTTAGGCCTGTGCAACCAACTTGTACTGCTTGACATGTATCCCTGCCTTTGAGTCCACATCCCTCTAATGTGTACTGCAGGATTCCTTCTCGGAAAAGCAAAAGTAACAATGGAGTAACTGATTCCAAATTTTTAACTTTCTATACTTACCTGTAAATATTTTCCTCTTTATAGAAATTCTGAAGGAAACATACAAAAATGCTAATAATTTCTGTCTTTTCTTTTAATTGCTGTGCTTACAAAACACTTTCATGCCCATGAGCTGGAGGATTCTGAATAAGTTCCAACAGAATACAATTACTCACTCCTACTCCACCTCACTGCTGTGCTAGTAACTGTACCTTATTAATCAGCCTGACTGTCCACTGAAGCCTTAGAAGCTACTACCATTTGTAGTATGTTACAGAACCTGTAAGAAATACTTAGTGGTAACCTGAAGTCCCATCTGCAGTGTGCAGTGACAATAAAACAAAAGATAGTTTTATATCTTGAATCAGAGAGAAGAGTAGAAGGGGAAATCCGTGAAACTGTGGGAATGATGGTCCCTGGTACTGATAGGTGTGCATTAGGCATCTTTAGGCAGCTGAAGTTTCAGCAATGAGTTCTGTGCTTTCTGTTTTCTTATAGTACTGAATGTGTGTGTGTTTAAAAATTGTTTCTTTAAGCATATTGTAGTAAAAAACCCAAGTAACAAACACAACTTCCTGAGATTTATGTAAATACTGATCACCATTGGGACTGAGAAATCTTTTGACACAGTAATTTAAATTACAGATGAAGCAGAAAAAGGAGGGTACAAGTGATCTACCAATTATACCATGATGCTGCCTCAGAGCACCGAGAGGGTTGTTTACATATTTTACGAATAATGAAACCTTATCCTCTCTGCTGGAGCTACCAGGCAGCCTACAGCAAATGTATCAGCCCGAGGGATTTGAGAGGAACCCACCAATTCATTTGCTTGTAGTCACAAAGCAGCCACCAATGGAAGCGCTGGATCCAAAGGGATGAAAGGGTAGGAAAGATATTTTCAGCCTCCTAAGCATGGAACACTTTTGAAAGGAACACTTTTGCAAGATGCCTCTCGCGGTAAACACTTCCCCCAGACCTTGTGTGAACTGTTTAACAAAGCACACAGTCAGGGGACGTGCACTGGCTTTGCCAGCCAGCCAAGATCTTAAGATGTAGATGTTTGGCTTTTTTAACCTCCAATTATCTCTCTGGAGTGGAGGAGACTGCTTTTAAGGCTACGCTGAGCAGGAAGTGCTAAGTATGTTCCTAAAGGTGTGGCTTAGCTCGCCAGCAATTCCCTGGTAGCAGGGGCGTGGTAAACTAGCCTTAAGTAAAACAAACAGGCTTTGTGGAAATCAAAAGCTGAGAATGCAAGCTGTTCACATCTCTTTGATTAAAGCAGCTAATCTTTGATTGAAGGTGGTGGGCTCCACCTTGTTCCCCTAAACCAAACAGGTTCACAAGGTTTGGATTTATAAGTCTCATGCTTTTGATACCAATGAAAAATATCAAATGTTTTTTAAGGTAATTTTTGTAGGACGTGTTGTGAGAAAAAGAGACATTTACACATTAACGTTATTACAAATATAGTACTAAATAAGAAGAAAAGCCCTGTATCATTTCTTAAAAATCACATTACCCTGACAGAATGGCTCGTCTTACACTGAGAGATACAGAGCAGAACCCATAATCCTGAATAAAATCTCCACCCTTTATTACTGAGTCCTTTTGCCTTGTCTTTCCCAGGGGAAGTTATGTGTTCTTGCCAGAAGTCAACCAGGAAAAGTTCTACTCTTGCACAAGGCAAAGCAGATTGCTGGTACTTTGATCTAACTGGCAAGAATTTAATTTATAGACAGTATTCCCTTCTCCAGCAATCTACATGGCAAAAGGCTGCTAGAGATATCCTCTCTGACCGGGATTCCTGCATACATAGACAGCAATCTGGTTTTGAGAGACAGAAAGACCTGATCTCACATCTCAGTGTTTATGTCTGTACAAAGTAGGTGTAAAATGCTGCCCATCGTGACTCACCGGTGATCGCAGCCTGATTGCCTTCAGTGGCAGCTGCAGGAGTTGGGCAGTAGCTGCCCCAGGAGAGCCTGCCGTGCCCAAAGCCTGCTGTGCCCAAAGCCTGCTGTGCCCAAAGCCTGCTGTGCCCAAAGCCAGGGATCCACCAGACTGGGAGGCAGAAGTGCCCCTCTTGTTGGCCCGTGAGTCACTGTCTTGCTTTGCCAGGATAACTTTGTGGAACCAACCACTGAACCAAATGAGGGAATGAGTCCACCTTAAGGAATACTTCAGAATATCAAATATTGATTCAGAGTGAACCCCACAAATAGTAGTGCTGAAGAATCAGAGGGTCCAAAAGCCAAAGGTGGGATGAGAATGAGTAGCTGAAGTTGGATGAACAAAGAATGCCTGAAATTTATATTTATGTCAAACAGAGTTCATTATGAAACCTACAGCTTTAGAACACAGTTTGTCATATGTGGCAGCCTCAACCAGCTTCTAACTATTCCCATTTCCTCAGTGGGGATATGTTTGCTTACAGTGGATACTAAGATTTTATTTATCTGAGAAATAATGAAGGAGTAGATTGGACTCCTCAGACTCCCTGCTCACACAAAGCAAAGCACTAGAGTATGGAAAGGAGGAGTTAAAAGTTCAAGTTATGTCCCAGACAACTACTTCACCCAGAGCTTTATCAGTGCATTCGCTGTAGTCACTGGTGGACACTCCCAGAATGTGCCAGGCCACTCTCTCTTGTGTCTGCCCCAGGGCTCTTTTTCTTTTCCTCACCACCATATCTTTGAACCTAGAAAAGGTAAAATCTTACCTTAACTATGTCACAGTGTGGTTGAAATAATTACTTGAGGAAAACAAGGAATGACTGAACACAAGGTGACATTTCCTGTCAAACAAGGGTGTGCCACATGAGCAGAGGGTTGTGGAAAGGGGGTGAGGTAGTACTGGCACTTATGAAACAGCTCTGTCACAGTGTATTATCACAACTCCAACTTATTAGGAAGGGAATTGCACCTGCTTGCCATGTGCTTAGTTATTATCTCTGTTTATAAAGCTATTAAGTGATAAATGCACTGAAGTGAATCATATGGCATCTTAAATTTAAAATTTCTACAGTATGCTAACGGGAGCAATCTGTCTTCTTTCTGTCACAGTTACTGACTGTACAATGTATCTGTAAGGACACTACTTCTGTCTCACTGCCACTGTACACTCCACAGCATCCAGGGTGAACATCAGGCAAAAGGAAGAAAGATCTTTGTTCAAGCGTGCTCAGAGGTTAAAGTGAAGAGAGGATTTGTTGAATGGAACAAGGGAATATATTTGAGTGAGAATCTGATGATTCTGTTGATGTGACTGCAACTGTAAAATACAGTTCAGTGTAAACTAGAGTCTTGCATGCAAGCAATTACACGTAGAGGTGCTCTAGAAAAAAATGAGATATCTTTGCAAAAACTGTAGTTGTCTTGTCAAGCTACAGATGGCAGAGTAGAAAATAAACTCATCTAATCTTCCTAGAAATTGGCATAATAGTTCTTCTAGAGTCTGGTAGTAACAAGACTTTTGAAAGACCATGTACTTTCAAGAAAAAGACAGTGAAAAGAGAAATACAAAAAAAAAGTTGTGTCAGAGGCCTGCTTCTTTGAGGAGATTATTCCATCCTTTTAATGGGACAGAATAGGACCCAGAGTGTATTTGAAATTCCCCTGTCAGATCCCACGGATGTAACAGTTGGTGGTAGAAGTGAAGTGGAGCAAAATAAACATAATCAAGATGGAAGATCAGGAAATCATTGAATGATAGGTCCTGTCATGTCTATTTTGGATGCACATAATTGCATTCATAATTTATTATACAATACTCTGATGAAATGTTTTTAAACATAAGTACTTCAACAGGTGTTTAAGTTTTGCTTAAATTTTGCATTTATATTTTACTTCTGTTTATACTGTGGTGAGAAAAAGATGTGTATTAGCATATCTGTATGTACAATAAGTTTAATTAAATCCTGATGAAGAAACAGGTTAAATGTCAGAGCAGCTAAATCAAATGGGAATTAAATATTATAGGAACACACCCTCCTTTTTTATCAAGGTTTTATGTGTCAGCTGAGAGCTTGTGGTACAATCTGAATAAATAGCCAGAGATTCATAATTTCTGCCAAGATAATGTCATGAGGCCAATTGTCAGTAAAGCTTGAGAAAATGTAACGTGCATAAATTCATCATTAATTGTGTAATTTATATAGTTGTTTTCCATGGAGTAATTTGGACTTCCAGAGTACAGTCCTTTGTATTTAGTTGCTGATCCATTCTTTCATCATTGCTGTATTGCAGCATTGATTACCAGCTCTCAGTAAGTGAGAGTAGTGTAGAGCATGCAGATCCTTTGATGTAGATAATGGCATTTACATTTCTCCTGTTGTCTAACTGTTTTTCTGTTTCCATGCAAGGTGACTGGAGTTGGATGTCCTATGTTCCAGGTGGCTGTAGCTGTCTCACTTTAAACCATCAGTGGTCTTGTGTTTCAGTGAACTTCTGAGAACTCTCTGGCTGTGCAGTGTGAGTGCATTTGGGTGTGGGAATACAGTGGGCTGCATATCATCCATGCATTGCAGGAGGAGTGTGAAGGAGGAGTGCAAAAATCCTTTGCTAAACAGTTAAAGGACTACTGAGTTACCTGTCCTGCTACTCCTGTGACTGGAAGTCTCTGAGTTGATCTGTTCAACACAAAGTATAAAATGGCCCAAATTACATGCTTCATGTAGACATCAGGTCATTCCCATTTTTCATTATCACAAGTTAACCTCTTGATCTTTTCACAAGAGGATATAATTTTATCCTGTTGAACTTTATTAAACACGTGAAATAATTTTAAATCTTATTGCTTACAAAGTAAGAAGATGATTCTACTTAATTGTATGTAAATACTAGTGAATAACAGGCAGCATTTTGGCTTTTAGCTATTGCAGTAGATTGTGTTACCAACTTATGTATTTACTCTTTTCACTGGGGTGATAATGATGGTGGCAAGGATAGTGGTAGTGGAGCTTTTTTCCTTTATAGCTTATGCAGCAAACAACTCACTAGATTAGTCTTATCATTAAAAAGCAAATTTTTTACTATTAGTTTTTTACTGTTTTTTACTGTTGCTGCACTGACAGTCTTGTAAAATGCTGTATCCTTTCAATGGACAAAGAGAGAATGTGTCAGTAATAGAAGTGTTTTGATCTAAGGCTGAATATCGATTTGCCTAAAAACCTGCCACAGTAACAATGCTTTCCATTGAATTTCCATTTTCATATTACACCTGAGACAAGTAAAAAAAGTAACCAATTGCAATGAAAATTTTTTTAGACAGATTGAAGGGCAATAAAGCTTCACACAAAGTCAGTGTTTTATCACAGGTAAGGTAGACTGAAAGGGTCAGGAAGCACTTGCATATTCATCTCATTAGGTAACAGAAATTGTATCACATGGCTTGTCTAATTTACCACAGCTTAAAGATCCTGTCTCAACTAGTTGCAGTGAATTATTTAAAAATTTGACAGTGAGATCAGATTGGCAACTGGGAGAAAGTTTCTCCTCAGCAATGTAGTGCAGCACTGGAACAGGTCACCCGTGGGGGTTTTCAAGACACAGCAGAACAAAATCCTGGCAATAGTGTTGGACACAGTGTTGGACAGGAGGACTTGCAGAGGTTCACATCAGGAATCATTTCAATTATTCTAACTCCAGAAAACCATCTAGTAACTTATTTGAAGGACAGCATTATTTCCAATCAAAAAAATGGAAATTCACTGTGTCTTTGTTAGAAACTGTTAACTTTAATGTAAATCTATAGTAATATGTATAAAAGACACTACAAACATATGCATGTATGTTTGATCTGCCCATAAATCTGGTAGAAGAGTAAATGCATAGATTTTGAAAAGCCTGATACCTGTAATATAGAGAAATTTGGCTAAACAGCACACACCTATATCCAATGGGAGCTGAGCATGTATAAAACCTTTGTAGGATTAAAACACTAGATCGATTGTCATCCCATAAAGGAGAGAAGCTATGTAAAATATTAGGGGAAGTAATTCCATTTTTATTTGTCTAGTCACAAGTTTTATGTTTTAATTTAAGTCAATAGTCAATTAAATTCCAACTGATACAGGAATCTAAGTCAGTGCTTTCAGTATGGCTTGATGGTGTTAGTATCTGCAAGGTAGTAATCCATCAGAACCACCTTTCTGAAGCTCTTTTGCATATTGCCAAGCTTCTGTGGATATCTTGATGGAAAATATTTCAAGGCTTCTACATTGCATTGTAAGAATGACAGACCTACCTGTCAGACCAAAAAAATCAGATCTCTCCAAATATCTAGACAGGAATCAAAGAACACTGTTAAGCAGTTTCTCCCATGCCTTTTCCCACTCATTTGCTGTTGAAGAAAGGATGCCAGAAAGTTTTTTACATGTGGGTTTATGTTTCAGGAGTTACAGTAAGCTCCTCCTTCAGAAAATATTGCTGCAGTTGCTTATAATCCAACCCAGGAGCCAAGGACTGAGTTGATATGAAGTCTAAATGTCTTCTCACATTTGCTTACAGATCACTCACAGATCTTTTACTTCCTGTGCCAGTTCACTTTGGAGCTGCTGAGGCATGCAGAGAGTTTACTACTACCCCTATTGTGCAGATAAACACCAAGGCTCCATATTTAATTTAGTCTCTCTGTTTCTCAGAATCACAACAAAAATTCGTCTAGAAGAGAGCTCTGGATGTCTTTGGGTCCAAACTCTCTGCCCTGCCAGCACAGCCAATTCTGAAGTCAGATCCATCTTCAAAGTTAAGTCACTTTTCTCAGGACATGTCAAACCATTTACAGGGTTAAACATCATCATATTTTTTTCCTTTTAACTGATGAGTAAAATATTCATAAGGACAAATAACTTCTCAATATCATACAAGTTTGGAACAGACTTTTAGCTTCCCTGAAGGTAATTGAAGTATTTCTGTAGATCTGAATGCATCTAGGATATTACTCCAGATCCCGTGTCTCCAAGTCTCATATTCGGCTTTAACAAAAGGACTTCAGTGATTAGGACATTCAGTCCACAGGAATTTTTAATAATAATGTAATATAGGTAAAAGAGGTAGTGGTCTTTTTCCTTCCCTTCCCTCCTCTCCTCATCTTATGAAACAGTGTAGTGTGGATATTGAGAGTGAAAACGCAACTGCGGATTTATCCATTGCACTCACAATGCATTTAATGAGTTTGCTCAGTGTTCTCATGTGATCTGTGATCTATTTTCTATTCTTAGTTGCTTGATTAATAAGAAACAAACAAAATATCCACAGTGCTGAGCTTGCATAACAATGAATGTCCATCTTAAAAACTTTTATTCTCCACCCAGTTATATTTATGAGACGTTATCCTTGTATGGAGCCTACAAACAAGTACCTGTACAAATATGCCTGCCAGGATTAAAGCTAAAGGTGAGCAATAACTCTTTATTTCAGCAAGATCTTGGTTACAAATTAACTTTGCTATGCTCACTGTACAGGGGCTTATCCCACATGTTTTTCAGGAAGTGGATCCTGTTGCTGTTCTGTGGAGACAGGCCATGTCATTCCTTCAGATTTTTTAATATCATTGCAGAGACGTATAACTCAGGGCAGAGAGATGGAAGGTTGTGGATAGAAGGTGAATGAGAAACCCTAATCTGACATTTTAAAACGTTTGATATCCCAGGAAGGCCAGCATTTATTTAAATTTTTCTTTTAAACATTTTAGAATAGTTTAGATAAATTAATAACAGTAGAATTATGTGAATCAAGATAGTAGAAACCAGATGGGTTTTTTAGGAAGAGGGTCTACATTTTATGAGATGAGCTAATATAATTGTGAAAAGTATGGAAGCTTTTGAGCTCACTAGCCTTGATACTGTGCACAGATTTCAAATAAGATTTCAAGGATCTTTGACACTGATCTGAGGAGGACTTCTTTAATCTGACATGTTGCTCTAAGTGAATTACAATACTTTTCTTTCACATAGATCCTAAAAGACAAGTGCCTATGTGCTGGCATTCTCTGTGCCAGTTCACTGGAGCCTGGGATCATATATGTCAACCTGGGCAAGAATTTATCATGTGTATGATCTTCTATAGAAATCTGCTGATTATAATCCCATTATGTGTGAAATACACATTAGGGCTACAAAATGACACCCTTATGAAGGCAGCTAAATTGCAACAGATGGGGACAGTTTTTTCTGTGACTATAACTGCAGGTAAAATCTGTGTTTACAGGTCTGTGTACAAACACTGCCTCCCCTCCAGCACCCCACGAGATAAGTGTGTCTGGGAGGAGTGGAACAGCTCGGGGGAAGAGGAACAGTTCTCACACTTGCAGTCAATGGATTTTTATGGTTCTTATTACAGACTTTTGGGATAAGAATCATCCCATACTCAATGATCAGGCTGCTATGCTGTTTCATTACCACTATATCCAAAGGATATAAGTAACCAAAAAGAATATAGGTGGGTTTTTATTCTACTGACAACTTCTAGAAATGTATTGACAGAGGAAAATATAGCTGTTGCATAAATTCAGCAATGCCAGAAAATATAATGCTGAAAACATTTTGAGTATATAAATCCATATTACAGATTAAAGTTTTCATCTCTGAGTGTTTGGGAATTTGCCCTTTCTGTACCAATGAAATATCTTCAGAATTGCTTCTCAGGCAGCTGCACATGTGAGCTGCAGAGACAACAGCTGAGAGGTGTTTAACAACTCTCTTGTAATGTTCAGTGAGATACACCTGTGCTCTGCAGAGGTTCCTGCATGGCCTCTGTCAGGTAAATGCTTCTAATACATAACTTCTAAGGTACTTCACATGAGACAGCGTCCTTGAAATGTAGTTTATTTTCATTGAAATAAATGGAATTAGTCTTACTGATGGTGTTAGCATGTGAATCAGTGTTTGCTGAAGGAGGTCCACAATAACTGTTATAATTAACCAATTATAAAATTAGCATGTTAAAAGAAGATGAGAAAATGTGTTTTACTAATTAAAGCTATCAGCTATTCAGTTAAATGTCCAACTCTGCATTTTCCCATGATAGACATCAGTAGCTAAATAGCAGGATGATTTTTCATTCACTGAAAATGGTATTTCAACACAACACTAATATTGGAGTACAAACTGAAGATTTAATTAAGCAAAAAAAAATACTATTACTAGTCTAACTAGCAGCATCTAGCCTTTAAAAATCATCAGTAGCTCCTCAGTGGTGGCAATAAGAAAAATAACAACTGTTGAAACAGTTTAGAGGCGTTTTAATTTTCTTTTCTGCTTTAAAAGAAATTTGAGTTTGACAATACCTCTGAAAATTGTCTCAGTCTGCAGTGTTACAAATATCACTGCTGCTGCCGAGCAGAAATGCTTAGCAGAGTGTTTTGTAGCAGCTAAACTGGGTGGTGATTTCCCATTGTGGATTCTCACCTGTGAAACAGGAGAGAGGCATAGAGAGAAGCTGTCCAGCTTGGTCTGCAGTTAATACCCAGGAGCTGGTTCCTTACTGAGCAGTTGTAGGGTAGAAAATGCAGGACTTTATGTTGCTGTTTTGCAAAACTTCCTACGTACACCCTCTCTCAAAACAAACAAAAAAATATTTTCCTAGGACCCACCTTTACAAACTAGAGAATAGGGCCTAAAATACAAAGTACTTTCTGTCTGTAATAGCCCTTAAAATCCTTGTAGAATACTACACTCTTATTATACATTAACGTTGGCATGGGCCGCTGGATACACACGTAGCAACGTGCACAAAAGGAAATTAATTAGGAGCAGGTAGAGGCTTCTGTTTCGTGGATTTCAATGCTAAGTCATAAACTGTGTTTTAGCAACTCCTCGCGTGTATTCCTGAGCTTTGCCAAGGCAATGGGCCGGGTGCGGGTGCTCAGAGCCCCGTATCCCCCGCACGAGGGGCCGGAGCGCGCAGAACTGAAAGCAGGTAGAGGCACTTCCTGCAGGCAGAATTAAAGAGAGAGAAAGGGAGTTCTCCTCTGATCTCCCTCAAAAACCAATCAGGCCAGATTAGCCAGGCGTTGATTCTCCCTCCGTCCCTCCTACACCTTTTTCAGAGGCCCAATGGCCTTGTCCCTTTGGGAGATTGACTCCAGTCACATGAGCTGCACCAAGGGCAGGTAACTCAGGAGAGGGGAAGGGGAAGAAAAAAAAAAGGAGAGGAAAAAAAAACCACCAAGGCTAGGCTGAGCTTCTGCCATGATGTCAGAGGGAAAGAAACCCACAGCTTGCTAATTCCACCTCCCAATCAGCCCCGGGAAGGAGAGCACCGGGAACAGGTAGAGATGTGAGCTTGCTTTCTCCATGTTTTTTTCCTCAAACACCCTACCTCCTTAAAGAGCTCTTTCTTTCCTCTTGATATTGTGACTCCTCGTTTGCTCCTTTCCCCTTTGATTACTTGGAGGTTGGGGGTGAGCCTTGTGGGGTTTTTTTTGTTTTGTTTGTCAGTGTGTCTTTCTTTTTCTTTTTTTTCTCTCTTTTTTTTTTTGACCTCTGCTTTTGATTGTAGTTGTTTCCCCCTGTGGTCATGACGGCTTCGCACAGTGACTCTTTGGTGGTGTTGTTTGGGGCAACAGCTGGTGCATATGGGGCTAAACTGGGTTCGGATGAGAGGGAACTAATTCTCTTGGTGTGGCAAGTTGTGGATCTACACAGCAAGAAGGTATGGCTTCGACATCCGAGCCGGGGGCGCGTTCCCCGGGCGCGGGGCGAGGGGCAGCCCCGGCCCTCGCCGCCTGCCCGGAGCCGATTGTTCAGCTCACGAACGCACCGAGGGAGGGGAGGGCGCGGGGCCGTGCCCGGGGCTCAATCCCTGCCCGGGGCGCCCACCCCGCAAGGTCCTTTTTGTTCCGTCTGAAGGGAAGAAGTAACTTTTAAAGAAAGTCTGGTCGCTTCCCACCCCTCACTGCCCCGTCCGCCTTAAAACGTGCGTAGCTTCGAGGATGTCTACGGGCTTCCGAAGCTTTAAAACAAAAAGCTGCCCCGGGTGGCTCCAAGCATGCACGCTTCCCTGGGAGCGGGCTCACGGCAACCACTGGACCCTTTGCGGCCTGCTGCGGGAGCCTTTTTTTTTCTTTCTTTCTTTCTTTTTAACCAGTATTTAGATACCTTTTAAGAGAATATTGACTTATTTCAATTCTTAGGCCGATCTAAAAGTCATCCCCAGTTTCCTTCCCCCCTAAAAAAGCCCTATCATAGACAAGAGCCCCCTAGAGATGAAGGGCTTTGATAAAACAAACAGGACTATCAATTTCCTTAATAGATTAATGAAACTGCCTTAACATTAAGCGATCTTCCCTTTGCAATTAACAACTCCCGCAAAAATGGGTGCTAACTGCAAAAGGCACCCCCTGGAAACGGGCGCGGACCCCCCAGAGCAGAGCGGGTGGCTCTCGCGGGTGGGAGGGAGAGGAAGCGAGGCCGAAGGGTCCCATTTGTGAAACAGGCAAACGCTGTTCTGGGTGTTGTGGGGCGGCCCCTGCTCCTCTCCCGGCCCCTGCTCCTCTCTGATCGCTCTGCAGGCCCAGCGCGGCCTTTGAAAGAGCTCATGCCGTTGGTCCTCACTTTTGTCCATAATTTCTTAAATGTTTTAGGTAGGGACACTACACAAATCCCTGGTGAAAGCAGACAACTTGGACTTAAGTGAGCAGTGTCGCGAAGTCAGTGCCTTAACGCCAGAGGGACTGAGCAAAGCAGAACCGCTGGACCGGGTTCTTCAACAGGTGAGGTGCTGCCCTTGGGAGCAGGGGCTCTTCGGGGTGAGACCTGCCAACCACATTTAACGGATTGGAAAACAGAAACAGGCTTTAATTTTGCCTTTCACTTGGAACTCACTAGGAAGTTTCCATGCTTGTTTTAAAGCTAACCCAAAAGGGACCCGAACCATTTGAAATGAGAACCCCATAATTCTGAAAGAGTTTTGTACAATACCAGAGTATTTGAGCTGATGCTGTAAGTCCTTGGAAGATCTGACTTCTGGTTATTTTGATGGGTCTACTTTTACTCTAAATTTCTCTTAAGCCTTAAAAAGTAGGCTGGTAAGGATACTACTTAATATAGCAATGCTAATCAAAGTTTCAAAATTCACGTGATATGTTTTAATCTACAGGTTCACTGCTATAATGGGTATTAAAAAACTTGACTTTTTCCTCATTTGTTATTTTTAAAAGTTAGTTGAAATCTTCAAAATGACATTTTCATATAACATCAGCTGTACTTGTTGTGTATCACTCTTTTCCAGATGAGCTTAATTAGTGGATTATAAAGTGATTAAGGTTTTTTTCCCTATGACTTCTGTAATTTTGCTCTTTTGCTCCTTTAATGTCCCACTAAGACAGTAAATCTGTAAGTTTGTATGATACATCTCAAGAAGACTGAAGTTACTTATAATAATTTAATGCCAATAGTGTATACATATGGAGTTCCTGAAAGTTTGCTTGCTTTGACTGTCTTTTTTATACACAAAATGTGCTTGAATGGAAAAATACAATAGTGCATTTTTCTGTAACACACAAACCTGGCTTTCCACACCTTGTCTGAATCATCGTAGGTGTGTTTCAGCAAGAAACTTGCTTAGGCAGTAGAACAGGTTCGTGTTGCTGTAACTTCTGGTGACACAGGTAACTTGGCAGACTTGGTCCTAAACCCTCTTTGATACTGGAATGGTTAACGCTACACTTTGTAGTGAGTGTCTTTGAACATGTAACTTGTACGTGTCTCAGAATCTGCCAGCATTAGCTGCAGGTGGCATTTGTTCTACTTGCACTGGTTTTGATGAGGTCCAAGACCAAGAGGTGATTTTTTTTTTTAAGCTCTATAATAACCCCTGAGAAAATGTGCAGCTGCAGGTTTGATCTTGTCCCAGATCTTGCACTAAAGACATCTGGAACAGCTTAGCTTAGTACACTCTATTTACCTTTATAACAGACACACTTTAATTATACTGATACTTTATGAAAGATTGTATCTTATTGCCGTAAATTGCACTGTAGGTGGGTCTGCTTTAGCAAATAAAAGGAAATACTACCTTTGTGTGTAGGTGGGTAGAGACTCTTGAAAAACAACAATTTTTTTCCTTTTTGTTTGCATATCTATGCAACTAAATAATGATTTTGCTGTTAATTGTTGGGTGCCAGTTGTGATGTGGCTAGTTCCATCATAGGTCTTCTGGAACACACCTTACTTAAACTATTCTCTCTTCCCCTCCATGTGTCCTGTCTCCATCTGGGAGTTAGGAGAGAATTAATTCAACCTCCTGCTTGCAATGGTGGCAAAAAGAAAACCTCTATATTCTGTAATAGATCCTTTTCTGCATTTTTGAAGATGGGACCATTAAATATTTCAATTGCATTATGTATTTTAAGGATGAGTCAGGTATTTGTCAACACATATGGATTTATTTTTCTTTGTCAGTTAAGCATTTTGATTAGCAAAAGTGCAGGTGGGTGAAGTGGTTGTTTGAAAAGGAGGAGGAAAAGGAAGTAGACTGGTACCTTGATTTGAGATAATGTTGTAGAGTGTATGAAATTAGCTTTTCACACCCTGCTTGCATTGTAGTAGAAAATTGCTCATGCAGCTGGAAATTGCTCACTTTAGCACATATCTCAGTCATGGAAATGAAAGTTTCAGTGCCTACTTCTGGCTTTTGCCTTGGGTTCCCAGTCTTTACATCTAGAGGGAAGTGAGAATCACTAAGCACAAACCTGTTGCAACTTTTATCTGTGCTTCAGAGGTCTCTGTCAGCCTGGAGCATTCTGTGGTTCTGATTCAGTGATTGGGAGCTGGTAAACAGTAGATCAGCTGCTGTGGGTCTGGAGTTTTTCCACTGACCACAGAAAGCCGCCTTCTTTTGCTATTTAGTTCACTTTCCAGCAATGATGGAGTCTACCAAAGGCCTGGAACCTGTGGTTAAGTCTTTACTCTGCTTTTAAGAAAGCACTTCCACAAATGATGTATGTTTTCAATTGTACTTCATATTCTTCAAGTGTTACATCTGGCACAGCTTGTTACTTGAGTTTGTCTTAAGAAATATTCTAAAATAGGATTCCTCATCAGTATGTTTTTGCTGTGTAATTTTACAAAGTGAGGTTCTGAAACACAGTGCCCCCAAACAACCATGATGTTTGCTGCAGTGTATGTTCTATATGTTTTGCTGCAAGTTTTTAAATACTGTACTTGTCCAGGGTAACAAGCATTTCATTCCATAGATACTACTGCATTTATGGGATCCATCTGTATTTTCTGATAGGTGATGTGCAATGTTGTGATAGCTATGCTTGGGGTGGGGAGGTGAGTACATACAAACATTGGGGAGATAATTACCTGAAATCATAAAATGTGTGCCCTTTAGAAGCAGCCTGCTTGAAGTATTTAGTTCAAAATGGCACTAATAACTTATCTCTGATGTTGGACCAGTAATGGTGAACTTAGTGCTGCTGACTGAGATGTATTGCAGTTGCAGAATACTACTGAGTAGAAAAATGTGAGGATTTTTATTTAACAAAGTAAGTGGGAGGTCTCTTGTTTAAGTGTGTATTTGGAACTGTCTCGAGCCTGTGAGGAAGCCTCTAAACATGCATTAGCTACACCACTCACCAAAGGGAAGAATTTTCTTCCTGCATTACTGTTACAGTCTTGCTAGGTTTCATTGTTCAGATCCTCAAATCACAGCACTGGCTTATTTAGCACATTACTTATGTTTTTTCTAATTAACTGCTGTAGCTTTATAGTTTCTCAATTTCCAAGCTTTTAAGGGGGAACAATTATTTTCGGTTGCTCTCTGAAACCTTGCAGAAATGAGGGCTTGCTTTTAAAGAGCAAAACCAAAATGAACTTTGCCTTTCTCTCAGCCCCATTACTCTGTCATTAAAAAGCTGACATCCTCATGTGCTTCTCTGATTTTAGCCATGGGGGTTCTAAGTTAAAGATTGCATATGAAGTTGAAAGTGTTGTGGATTTCTTAATCTTTCGCATGCAGAAAGCCTGGCTGAATCAGCATGACTTGCCTTCAGACAGGTTACTTTCCTTTTGCAAGGCAATATTTGCATGTCTTCCTGACAAAGGCTAAGTCTAGGAAAAGCTAATAATTTTGGAGAGCTGTCTGAAGTATTTAGCTGTAATTACCATCTTACTTTGAACGATACACATAAGAAGGGAGAGGTTCTCAAGTGAGAGCTGGGTTTGCTTTTGGACCTATTGAAAGCATCCGGATTTCATCTATGGATTGACATTTAAGTATTAAAGTTTACTTAAAACACAGTCCTAATTTTGCTGATCTTTCATCACACTGTACATTGAATCCAATATATGAATGATTATTTCGATTCATGTTCTTAAATAGAGAAAGACAAAGCTGGGCCTTTTCTTCCCCCCCTCCCCTAAACAATGCACAGATTTAAAATAGAGTGGTTGCCATTTCAGCAGGTGATAGCAAATTACCAGTTCTCTAAAGTGTGTTTGGATGCCTATTGATCATCCAGCTGAGCTGCAGGTGCAGTTTATTTTCAACACATGCAGCAAGAAACAAGCTGGTTAAATGAGCATTTGGAAACAAATGGGATGGGGGGAGAGGTGGAAGAACCAGTAAATTCCTCTAACCTGATAAACCGGTTACAACTTTTTTTTTTTAAGAGAAACTTGTTCTGCAGCCTCTTCTTCACAAAGTGCTAGCAGAAAGCTTTCTTGGCTCCCCTGCCGGTTGTCACACCTTCATTTTGCAAAAATGATTTTTGGAGTATATTTTTAATACACCTTTCAGTCTTCAAACTGCAGAAAAAAGGAAAATGCAGGGTGATTTTTTTTTTTTATTTTATTTTTTTGTGTCTCAGGGTTGGTTCTGCAACTTCAGATTATTTGGTGACTGCATCATCTCAATAAAACCCTTAACAGAGTCTGTATTTTGGAAAATTTGCTGGGTCTGAGTTCTGATGTTCTGGAGCAGGTGCTTGGCAAACCTTTGGCAAGTGTTACCAGACAGGCTGTTCTTTCTACAAATGATACTTGGGGTGTAGTTTCACAAGATTTGGCTTCAGCAGTGAAGCTGCTTCTTTCCTGCCCCTCCACCACACTTTGTGATCTTTTTGTTGTGTCAGTAAAACTCTTTGTGAAGCTGTGCTGTAAACAGGATCACTGAGATGAGCAGGTGGGGTGGGAGCAACTGCTTTGCTGTCCAAGCTCAGTGCCATGAGACTCCACCCTTGGTTGTGTTTGCATGACCCAACATGTTTGAGGGTGATACCAGCTCAAGGTGTCTCTGCCCCCGCACTGGGATCTCACCCTGCAGTTGGATGGGAACTGGAGTGGCACCTTTCCCTTGGGTGGGTGCTGCTGCATGGACTCACCTCGCTGCATGAGGACAATACAAAAGCTTTTGGGCTGCAGATTGCACTGGAGCAGGGCCTTGTTCTGAGTTAAACCAGGTCTGGTTCAGAGAGTTCTGTTTGATCCACAGCCTGGCAGATTAGGCAGTTTTTCTGAGGACAGCCATAGCACTAAGGTGTGGGTGAAAGGAGAGGAATATTTTAAGATATGCAGGCCACCAAGCCATTTGTGTGGTGAAACTGTGGCCTTGGTTTGGTATCAGCAGTGAGGGATGAGGATTTCCTGATAGTCACAAGGTGGCCTTCAGGTTGTCAGGGCAGGTACGTGATAAAAAACTCCTGCTCCTATAGGAGAGCTGAGTGTTCTGTGTGCATGTGGCCTTATGTGGAGTTGTTATTATGTA